TTTTTCTCGACTGAGTGCTCTTTGGTCCACGGCTTTGTAGGTTGCATAATTTTAGTATGAAGCGTTCTGGATACCCGCTCCGCCAAACTGCGCCTTCTAAACACTTTTATGGCTCTGCCGGTCGATTTTCGCTATTTTTCGAGACGGAGCAAAGCTACCAAGGTGAATATACTGACCTGTCCATATTTTTCTTTTGCGGAATTTGCAGTGCCGCCAGCCTCCTTGAGAATGTCATCATCAAGAAAACCTGTCTGTTCGTGACACACAGATCCAAGAGTAAACTGGATAATAGTGTGAATTGAGTTGAAACGGTGCTACATGGTGGCATTGATATTATCGGTGTCAATTACAAATACACCGTATACGGAAATGGCGCCGAAGTATAAATTGTCCATGTACACTTGGCTGTTCGGTCTCACATATGTTCATGAGCAGATCTGCTAGCGGGGAATTCAAAAGTGATCTCATCATGACTCCGTCTTTCTGTTAATAAATTTTACTACTAAAACCAAACGGAAACATTGTATGTGAAAAGCGGCCAGAGTTTCTCGACGTCCTGAATGAGTGCACCTTGCCACTGCACTCAATAGTCGCACACAACCCATTGTTTCGGTGAACGGGATGTGGCAAAAAGTCGCGAGAGAGAGAGAGAACAAGTGATCTTTAGATCCCCGAAACTGACTAACGGAAGGTAGCAGCATACTTTTCGAACTGGATGTTGGTGGCTGTATTCTAACTGGGAAAATTGGACATGTCGAGGATGATCTTGAGAGGTAGATCGGATCTGTGGGGCTTTGGGAGAGCACAAATCCGGGGTACTTTTGTGCCAGGTGGTCGAATATGATCATAAATACTGACTTCAGCGGATATCACGACGGCCTTGTATGGGTTGTAGCGTCCAGACTGTCTAAACATTAGCACAAAATGACGAACGCTCCAAATCGGACCACAATACTCGACTGGAGCCAGCTATCTCACCCCCCCCCCAAGTTTTCTCCACTAGTCAAGCTCCGAAAATAGCAGAAGACTATCGCGCTTCCTCGCTCATGGAAGAAACACCGCAAGACGACATCGGATGAGCAGGTACGCGATCGAAATCAATTCATCTCAGGGCAACATGTGGTGTCCACGATGCATGGGAGTGGGTCTCTTGAACAAACTCTTCGCAGAATGGCTGAAGGTAGTTTTTTCACGCGTCAACATGTAGAGACCCCAAAAACAAACTATCCAGTCAGTGGTGAAGTAACCGCAACTACGTGAAAGTGCAGAGCCCCAAAATCATCAGCAGGAGTACTTCGAAGGCCATGCAGAGTTACTGTAACAACGGATACCTAGGTTGACACAACTGCTGAATATACGCTAATCTTCATGAAACTGGAATCGACCAGTACTCAATGACCAAGTCAATTATCACCGCTTTTGTTGTGAATTACTGCTTCCATGTGGAAGAAATTTTGGGGAATACTAAAATATTCCCTCTAGCAAGGACATTTTCTCATGGGAAAGGTTATTAACGGGAACCGAATCGGACCTGATACACCGGAGCAATAAGACTTCAGTTCTAAAGTTTTTAATGCACGGTGTAATGTCTTGAGTGTCTAGGGTGAATTCTGCAATAGTTCGGTATTCTGGTCTACTCGTGGTTGAGATGTACTAAGTTTTATATAGCGATCCTAAGTCCGCAGTACGGGCCACCAGGAACAAAAACAGGAATGCAAGATCCACTTTTCGAGCCCCAAAGAAGACAAAGCCGGGAGTGGACAGTGTTTCCAATACCAATCAGAACCAAGGCGTTTCACGTGACCAACAATGGTACTCAGTGGATACTGAGTGCTTTTATCACCTTCAATGCGTACTACAGTTCTGACTTGCGAGCTGCACCATGCACGAAACCCAGACTGTCAGATACTCGGCTAAGCCCAGCTGCGGGACAGAGCATCAGCGGTATTTGGAACAATTACCGCCCAGCGAAACGGTTAACACATAAAACCAGGTCGATGGTGCGGGGGAATCTCCAATGTAGCGTTTGTTTCTGGGGTACAAAGCAGCCAATTGTGAATCTAGGACTGTTTGAGGGGAACTGCGATGAAAGAGTAGTCGCGTCCATAAAGTCCTCTGTTACCAGGATGTTCCTCGTAGCGGTGGTACTCTTTCAGTAAATCTCTCTAAATTCATGTATCGGGAGAACAAAGAGAGTGCAAATGAATCTCTAAGCCTGGTAACGCCCAGAAAGATCACTACTGTCCTGTGGGCCCATCAACTATTATATTTGCACTCAGGAAATGAAATAGATGCGCTATTAAGTTATTAGATGACTATCCTCAAAGTCTCCCAAAGGTGGAAGGGATCCTAGCTCTTGACCATCCACACCAGGAGTAAAGCATCACGACACAGTGCGGAATGTAGAAGTGTGGAGATCTGCAGGGAAAAAGACAATCAAGGAGCTGGATAGACGCGTGGGAGACAACTCGCCCGATTTGCACAGCTAGTGGGAGCTGCAAGATGGCAATGGAGGTTGATTTAAGCGACCCGTTAAAGTAAAAAACCAGAGGAACATGAGGATGTATACCCCAAACCTACAGAACAGAAAGCGTGTGCGTGTCCAGAAGCGGCCCGTGATTTAAATTCTGTGGGTATGGGTCAAGTACATTTGGATGGGCAGCTTCTATATGCAAGTCCAAATCAGTGACGTCCAGATACCGTGACTCAGTTGTCCCTTGCACACCAAACACTCGTGGGAAACGGGAGTGCAGGGATGCTGTCATTGGTGAGGGTGCAGACCTCGTATCCAGATAAACACCCGCCTTTTTCGTCCGTTTTCCCGTTATTTATTCTGCTACAAAGAATCAGAAGAGAGGACCGTCCATAAGCAACCACCCGCGATGGACCCTCAGAGTCCGAAAAATCCCATTCGTCCCAAGATCAGGTCTATGGCTCTTGTTTATTACATCTAGGCTCAAGTCCATTCAGTTTCGTCAGGGGAGGCTGTCTGTATCAAAAGCCCTGTCTAGGCTTGGGCAACCTGGCAGTATCCCAGCCCTCGTGCTTCCTTCGAGTGGCATGGCCAGCTAGGCACCGGAAGGGTGCTACGGCTGAACGCTTTCTTTCTGTTCTGTATCAAAAGTATGTATGTATATATATGGCCTTGTTCTTGGGAAGCATCCAGGGTGTTGAAGCTGTCACCTGTTAGTTGAGTCCCTCTGGAAACTGAAAGCAAACATCAAGGAGTGTCGCCCGATCAGTAATAATCGACACACGACAGGTCACAACAACCTGCGTAAAGGGAATGCCACTCGTGGAACACGTTGAACATCGGTCTCGCCATTACATCACATTTTGCTATTCATTGCTCGCTGGTATACACGTAGATTCTGAGAGAAGCACAAAATTTGAGCCTACAAGCCTATGAATTTGGTTCTGCGAATGCAACCCATAGCCAGACAGCGGATGCATTCAAGCCGTGTCACCAGTCATTCGGATGGCGTCAGAAAAAGTCGAGTACGAAACATCATGGTGCATGAGGAGAGTGACAAATGCATTGCCGCAACAAGAATTACGCGACCACCAAGCATTGCGACATCAATGGACAAAAAATTAGCTAAGTCTCTTCACAGAACTGATTCTAGCAAGTATAGCTGTTCTAGATAGTCGGGAAGTCACTGATTCATTTTGGTCTGCGTGCCTGGAAGGGGCAGTCACGATAGGTTGGATAAGACGATCGACGGCACCGGTTTACCGATTAGGTTTGCCTATCACCCACATTTTCGTCTCCGTGAGAACATTGCTGCCGCCATCGGCGATGTGATTCCGGTTGTCTTTGTCATCCGACGTAACCTGACGTCGCTGGACCAACCCAAGCAACCACAGGTTCGGTGCAAGCTCGACTGGCTGTTGGGGTGTTTTCAACTGCCACGTGATTATGCACCCAAAACTGCAGCTATTCAACTCCAAGTTCGATTCCTGCGGGGGAACAAGCTGTGTAGCTATTCGCGTTTTTCACTCCAGTCAGCCATGCCACTCACACGTTCAGCGTCAAAAGTAATAAACTGCCCCTAACCGTATTGCTTTGAAACCCTGGCGCTAAGTTGCAATCCATTCAGTGGTGAGCGACTGAATATGTAAACAGACATCCTGTAATTTAGTCCTGAGATGTCACGACCCGGTCAAAAAGATTGGGCGAGCAGTTGAATCACCGTTGGTGTGCGAAATGGAGTTCGCACGTGCTGTCCAGTGTGTTTCTGCGAGTGCAATATGGCCCCCGTGAGCTGAAGATATTCATAAATCGAAACAATCTGACCAGTGGTGAATCACAGATGCGCTTCTGATTAGCTGGGTTTCAATCAAAACTATCATCGGTCGGCTATTTGCGAGCGCTATCGAGATTTAAGCAAACAAGCAATATAAGTCCTTCTCCATGCCCCAACTGAAGCTGTTTAAACCGCCGTATGTGCTGACCGTCATTGAGGGGTTGAGGCGATCCGGGGCAACAGTGGAGCTGAAGAACAAGAGACAATAATCCTGAAGCAGTAGCATAAATCGACAGCCACTAACCACTCGGCAGGTTCGGCGAACGACCTGGAAGCAAACCCAGTGTTGCTCTCAGGCAGTTCAGTCAAAGATCAAGGGTACATTGGTTCCAACTGCTACGGTTTCGCGAAAATGGGAGACCTGACACTGTAGGCGGTGGCCTAACCAGTAAACTGATTGCTCCTGAGGAGAAACAGTTTTGAAGCTGTCCTCAACATGCCTTTGCAAATCCTATGTAGACTGACTGCGAGCCCCATCACGTCAAGATAACCAGTGAATCAGTAACGAACGGTACAAGTAACCCTAGTACATGTCAAATGTAGAGCTAACGTCCCTGACGAAAGCTTGTGTCTCGCCGTCATCCTAATTTGAACACACCACCAGTCAGCACATACCAGTTGATGTCACCTGAACCCGCGGTAGCAAAAGCGAACACACCACGCCGAGGCAATGATAACAGCAACTGTGCTTATTATGGGTAATGGTAGTTAGACGATACCCGCTGTGAAATCGAACACGAGGGGCTATACGTATGAGACAGAGTTGTAGACAGATGAACAGAGATGACAGTATCTGGTAGAAGCATACAAAAAGCGAGCTGATTCGATAAAACACACGTAGCACAGAAACCAAAGGAAAAATAGTTTGGATATAAATGGTCGGGAGTTGTGTGAAATTAAAAAAAAACTAAAGCATGCATGAGTTACGTGAATGTTCGTGCATGGGGTTGTTGAAAGCTCTGTGAGCACGGTGTAGCTGTGTTGGGTGACTATTCACGCGTGCTGTGCAAAATAAGAGGTGATGAAATCAGGTGGTTGGCCAAGGCAAGGAAGACAAATTGAACATCATGATCGCGGTCACACTAGTGATAGTAAAACACGGCTAACGGAGAATGTGGCCTAAATGAGAGAGAGAAAAACCCTGACCAATTGTGCGGGGCTGAGTAGGCACAGTATTGCTGGTGATCGAGGGAAAACGAAACTGAAACAGTGAAATCGAATGTTGCTGCTACTTGGTTGAAAAAAGACTGGCCTCTTGCCGATAGGCACCTCCTCACTCAATTGGACATGGTTAATATGTACAAAGAAACACAGAAAACGAAGGGAAAAGGCAGAAAAATAGTAGATATCCTATCCAGTTCCTGGCACGCGATTAGTCAATCAGAGGTGACTGCTTGTGGATCGAACAAGGTTGGGTGCGATCGGACCTGGTTGTCTTGAAGCTGAGCGAGACGCTGTTGTAAGGCATCTAACTCAGACTGATGAGAATGGATTTTGCTGTGAGTTTCGATCACATTCTGAAATGATACAACAGCAAGGATGACAAGTTTGGGAAGGTTGAACAAGTAGGCCAAGGCAGTAAAAACGGTGCACCGCAAGTGTGTAGCTTGCAGACGATACAAGACGATGTCAGCCCGGAAACAAGTTTTGGGGAAGAGAACATAACAGAAGACAGAATACTTCGTAGACTTGCAAGTTTCGACTGCTAATCGAGCTGTGTAACCTGGTTTATCTTATTCCACACTATGCCTGTGGGATGGATGGCAGTGTGGGGACAGTGACGAGCGCGCACAATCTCGCTACAGGAGTTCACAAAAGTCAGTGAAAAGAGGGAATCGACAGCAACAACTCGGTCGGAATCGGATGCCTAGGCCGCAGAGAACCCCTACTTTAAAGCGACCGTCTAATCGCACACCACAAACCACTTTGTGTGTACAGGGATAACCAACTGAGACAGATGCCTCGTTCTTTAATATCCCGTATTCTTTCTTACTAAAAAGGTCAGAAAATTTGGAAGCAGTTGGAGTCCTCACAAGCGTTTAGTTTAGTCCGGATGACGGTGGGCTATGGAATACATGAAGACACTGTATGAAAAAAGGGTATGATGGCCTCTATCAGTTGCTGCGCCAACACCAGAAAACCTACCTGTAAGGTTGCCGAAATGGGGGTGATCACATACAGGCCAGTGGAGTCACACGTAAAGTTAGCTTGGTGCAACACTCCAGAGAGTTTGTCCGTAGCTTCCTTGACCGACTGCCCGGCGACCTAAATAGCACACACGCACATAGACAGTCAAACGATTACTCAGACGACCAGGAAGATGAAAATCGAGCACTTCATAATACACTTACCTGAAACTTTTGAATATCCGCGGAAGAACATTTGGACTTTCTGGATTTAGCGGACATCAGGAGCTGAGCAGAAGCAGCGGCAACCCGACGTACAGCGGCTAGAAGACGCTCCTTGGACGGAACAAGACGTGTGGAGGTGCCAAATAGATCTTTCGAGTCAGGATGTGCATTCTCCTCCTGAAGAACGGCCGAACACAGTTGGGCTAGTTGACACATGTCCTGTGTTGCCAAGGCCACAGTGAGTTCGGTCCGCCATAGAGAGGCACCATGGTAAGAAGTGCCAGCACGCCGAGCACGGTCCACTGCATCCGACGGTGGGGCCAATCCAATAGACCTAGCCGTGTGAATCAGACTTTGGGTTGCAACAGCCACTGAGTGCGCAGACTGAAGGATGGTTGGGTCACTGGGTGGCTGAAAGCAGGAAAAAAAACTCAGCAACTCGTGTCAACCATGGTGACAGTGCTACGTACCAAAAAATAGGCCATCGGATAGTACATGCGTACCTTCGAGATCAGACGTAGGTAGCGAGTGAAGTCCTGTTAGGTAAGACTCCTGGTTTGGAAATTACCTGTCTGGGCGTGAAGGAAATGAGAACATCGCGGTCATCGTCGCCTGACTGTAACACCTTTCCGGTGCATAGCTGCCAAGCCACCAGAAGGGAGCACATGGGCTGAAATACTATCAGGTTGCCCAAACCTTTACAGAGGCAGTCGAGATGCAGAAGCTGGGTTCGGACTACGGGCCTTCCGGCCAGTAACTTCGCGCTTAGCCGGTGAGCCATCTCAAGCAAGAAAATATACTGGTCTTCGATCCTTTTGCGGGTTGGATGGAGAATATGGTCGGAAATAAACAGAAAGCGAACAGTGCCCAAGTTCATCATGCTTCTATATCCATCATTGACGATCCGTTCATATTAAACTCCGGAAAAGATCTAGAGACAACGATGGTCGAAAGGTGAATGGCCACTGTCGGTTGCCTTACCTAAAGGGAGGTTCTCCATGAAATGAGTGGCTGTGAGCACACTTTGGCCTGTCATCAGATCAGTGAGACTGATGTGCTGCGCGGCTCGGTCAAAAGGCCTCACTGCAAAACGCGTCCGGTCACTTGCGTTAATGGAAGAGCATAAGGGCGCACTCAGCACCTTGGATTGATTATCTCCAACAAGACTACGTTGCGCGCCAACATGCAGTACTGCAACTATAACGAAAATTTGTGACACGGTATAGAACAAGGACCCTGAGCTTTTTAAAATCCATAGCTTAATTACATTTGCATCAATCAGGAGCAAGTACATCAAAACTCGTAGGAAAGCCCAAGGGGGATGTCACCACTGGTTGTTTCGGTTGTTGTTATGACAGGAAGTGGATGATCCTCGGCGGAAAATCCGTTGTATCTATATTTCCGAAGGCTAGAGGGTAGAGATATCGCCAAGGTTCTCAAGGCCAGGCAAGAGCAATCATTTGGGCTCGAACCAGATGTTTTCTGGTAAACATTTCCGCACTCTAACCATTGAATCCTCCCGAGTTGGTCTTTGCATAGCCAAGTGCATTCTATAATCCAGCAGGCAGCCAATTGGCATTCATAAGCCTAGTGTACCAACTACCATGGGCTATAGTGCAACCTCCGAAGGGATAGATTATCGCAACGGTCACCTTAAATCCAGTGCCAACCGTATGAACTTTAGGTAATATTTGAAAAAGGCAACAGGCGTATCATGCTTAGTGTTCCCTCCGACTAAGCAGCTGATGTCAATTTTACTCGTGCCTACACAGAAAACGACAGAAAGTAGATCGGAAAATTACGGGATCCACTGATCCACTGAAACGAATCCGTAATCAGACAAGGGATTCTTTTTCATTCAGAATGAGGGCCCGGATGAAAGAACCGCGCGACCGTATTGGATGGAAAAATATACAAAAATACTAACCGGAATGCTTGACGAATGAAGCTAGTTCGTGGGAATATGTTCGGTCACTGGTGTTCAACAGCTACCCGACCGGAGGTAGCTCCGATCGGAAACCACACACCAAGTAACCCAAACATATCTCACCAACCAACTCGACAGATGGCAAAAGAGGAAGGCTTACAAAGAAATTACCTACCTCACAATCCAATATGGACTTTAACTGGTCGATGGCCGTGGCAATACGGAATTCAGCCTCGTCACCGCTCTTATCCTCGTCCTGCTCCGGAATCGCCTTCTGTGGTCGAAACGGGTAGCAGATAGGTCGGACGTACAAAGCACGGTTTGTAGAGCCAGGGCCAACTACAGGAGTGAGAAGGAACGGCGAATGAGAATACAATTTAAACAAAATGTGCTAAGGTTGGATTCTATTCGAAATCAATGCCCTCAAACAGCTCGCCGCCAAATAAGAGCCTATGCGATGCAGCTGAAGGTTAAGTATATGTGAATTTGACGAAGTATACTCATTTGCAAGCTAATTTGGTTTTGACGGGAAACTCAACCGAAGCCCAGTCGAATCACTTGTTTAGAGTATTCTTCAACTGGACACGCTGCATAAAGACTGTTCCATGTTTCAGTTAATAGGAAATTCCAGATGGAACTAAGATCTAGAAAAGCGAATAAATCTAATGGAGGGAACAACAATTTGACTAAGTAACGACAAAGGGACGCAAAACATAAGTAAATCGAGGCAACTCATCAACCAGCCTTACAGGTAAAATCACCGAAAAAAACATGGCTTTGGTATACCGAAGATGGTCTGAGGTATAGCGTTCCAATCAATAATCAATATCGATTATTTGGAACTCATTAGAGAAAAACCGGATGAAGCTACTCAACATTCAGTTGCCTGAGAACATCATAAACGAGAGATTCAGCTGGTCTAAAGGTGAGTCTCTCGAAAGAACCAAATTAGTTTGCAGATGAGTGTATATTCGCTAATTTCGTGCAATTTGGTTTCAAGTAGAACATAAGGTTGACGGAAACCCGGGGACTGCGCCTACCTGATGAGCCCAAAGTGGAAGTGCGAAACCGGTCGTGGGCTGTCGATGGATTTTCAGCAACCTTATGAGTACATTACAAATATACTCAACATTCCCTTATTAAACTGTGCCCCTCAGGGGAACCCACCTAGAGGGACTTGACGAAAACGGTTACTTCAAGGGGAATCTGGACTGTAAAATTGGCTTCACAAGGACCCGTATTAAGTGCTCTGCAAAGAATAGTCGCTCAACAGAACGGTCTCAGCTTACAAGGCTGACGTGTTGAGGTGTAACTCCGGTTACAACCCGAATCCAGAACACATCGATTCATCGTTTGCTGACATCACTGGAGAGCGGTCAGACAGTTCTGAATCGCTATATTCGGTACAGTACTTTCCTTAGTCTTCGTCTTGCTATCTTTAACTCACAGGATACTCCATTCTAATGGTTACTCAGCGTAGTAATCGTCCGTGCGTGGGTCGTGTTCGGACCCAAGCAGCTGCTGGCAAGCGACAATGAACGAATGCCCTACTGAAGACTGGCTAGCTTCTTGTAACCAAAGTCAATGAGACTACCTTGGATGGAAACAAAAAATAGCCATGAAAAGTGATTGGAACCAGTGGAAAATGGAAGTACTAAAATGGGAGCGGAAAGCAGATTCGTGGGTGTACGAAAGTAACCGATATCAAGTACACTCGTTTGCAAACAAAAATGTGTTCGCGATAAGTGTATTTCGCTAATTTCGTGCGATTTGGTTTCGAGTAGAACAAAAGATTGACTGAAACTTGGGGACTGCCCCTATGAGCGGTCTACTACGACTAACCGGTATCAACTTTTTTGAGTAATTGGGTTTGGTGCGTTCGGGAGAGACAGCTTCCACGAGTGGAAAATATCCATGGAGCTGAAGTCAATCAACGAAGCACAAGCTATAGTCGTGTTAAACAACTTGATGACCACTAGAAGCATAACACTATGGATATGCTGTCAATGAGCGCTCAGCAAATATCCCGTACTAGCATGCTAAAGGTAACTTTCGAAGTTCTCTGAATACATTCAATATGCTATAGCTGGAGGCATAACCATAGCAAGGTACAAAGAACGCTAGTGTCAATAATGGCAACTAGACTTACCAATGGTATAACTGGGTAAATAGTGGTGATGATAGGCCACGTGCCGTCCGATGAACTTCTCAGCAACATCCCGCCCTATCCGAAAATAAGACGTTCAAATAAACCACGTTAATATTCAGCTGTATAAAAGTTACACACAGTGTGAAGGACACCAGGGGTGAGGGTGTACATGCTGCCGGGAGCCGTTGGCCATCAAAAACAACGCAGTGACTAGACACCGCAATCTAGTATAAAAGAACACCACATTGCCAGCCAACATAAAGGAAAACACTGCCGATAAGATGTTAAGACAACAAATTATGCGCGCACACACACACACGTGCAAAAAGAAAGAAAAAACTGTTGCGCTCAAATTGCCTAAAACATGCACAAAGTGGTAAAAGCCAGAAGAAACGCACGCATGCTTACAGCCGCACACTTACATTCCGGACTACTTGCGCGGAAGTACATCACTAAGCGAGGACTCTCTGTTTAACATGCAATACACCACCAGTACGGAAAGGAAAGAAAAGGGCGACGGTGTATAAAAAAAGAACCATTACACCCGCGAAACGACGGGAGGGAAGTGAAAGGAGAGAGAGAGAGAGAAGAAAGAGATCAGTTAACCATCCCAGAGTCAAGTAATGGATTTGAATACAAAAAGCCGAATATTACACTGTCATAGGAAACCGCGGGCTCAACTAGGAGGTTACAGAATCTTGCGTACGTCCATGTGCGACCGTGTAGAATCAAACCACAAGTCGCCAGTATAGTATTTAGACGTTCGGAGGCAGTCGTACGGTCTTTAGAGGCTTTGGCGAGATGGCCCAAGTGGTTAGAGCGCGAATATCCCGACCGGAATGTCCGTGGTTCGAACCCGACCTCTGCTTCTCGATTTCCCCTATCTAGGTTCGGGCAGCCTGGCAGTATCCCAGCCCTCGTGCATCCTTCGGGTGCCATGACAGTTAGGCGCCGAAAGGGTGCTGCAGCTGAACGACGACTTTCTTTAGAGGCCTTCCATATCTGTGCGGTGGAGTGAAACCATTAAAGACATCTGCAGAGCCACGGCTTCTGAGAGTGATGAGACGCATTCATGCATAGTCCCATCACAGCGTTAGCTAGCGGTAAGATACGTCAACACAAATTTCAGCTATTTGACCTAACATATTCATATCTGGGCTATTACTCGTGTATTGCGTCGATCGTTCAGCTGTAGCCTAGCTACCATGCTACCAGAAGGAAGCACGAGAACTAGGATACTACCAGGTTGCCAAAACCTAGACAAGAAAAGTCGAGAGGCAGAGATCGGTGCGTCGGATACACACGTAAGATGTTACGGCACATATCGTTTCATTAAGGATCAGCTGTTTGGAGTGACTGTTGGTTGTTTGCCAGATGCGCCCATTTCAATTTATCTAGTTTACTAAACTCTGAATTTTTTATACAGGGAGAGGAGGAAATAACAGATGCAGACGAAACAGAGAAACACAGTGGCCTGATTCAAAGGTGCCCGATTCATTAATTCACTTATTATTAAAACTGGTGCTTGTCGGGTCAAAGAATTCCATTCCGGTGTCACCTTTTTGATGGCGCATTGGCGCCGACCGAACCGAAGAACGAGGCTTGATATAATGCTAGTTACCGAAGGCCAAACGGGATCCCGTACGGAACACAGACCAACCAGGCAGTAACCGGCAACATGGTGACGAGCGACCTCAAGTTCATTGATCCCTTGGAGGACTAATTAAGGTTTCGCGGACAAGAGGTGAATTCACAGCATACGAAATTACAGAGGTGCCTAAAATGCTGTGTAAAACTTCCAATCAAGTAGACAGGTATTTATATGTGTTATGGCAGAGGGAAACATCAACCATATCACCAAGGAGAGCAGGTCTCAGAACGATTGTCTTCCGAAAGCAGGAAACACACCATACAGGACCACGGACTTTGGGTTTCCGAAGGTCTGAGCAAAAAGTTTGAACATAAAATTATACGATTAGGCACTGACGATGAGTGAAAGGGAGTTCTTATAGTTGCGAGATCACAGTTGTACAGTAACAGCCCATATTCATCACGTAATGAACGAAACCGAGTTTTTGAGGAGGAGGATTGCTTTAACCAGAGCAATGGTTCTTCATCCTTAAGATCAGTGGCATTACTAGAATCGTGCAACGATCAGAATGATGTTTCCTCCCCTCTCCCCGTTTGGAGCTTCTCTACCCAATATACACGAGTTGCACGCAACATCCAACATCAACTTCAAATAATCAAGCATAGCCTGACGAACTAGGATCCCTTCAACTCCAAACAAAAACCTGGTCGTAGTATCAGTGTTTTGGCCAAAGTACATTGTGAGCAATCATCATGATCATCGACGGTATGACATCAGTGTTCAACACCGATGCTTCACTGCGTACATGAGCGATTGTACCCCTGTGATACGTGTAAAGCGGGAGAGATCGCAAAAGCTGTCAACCTGATAAGCGATAGTATCTGGTTACGAATAGATACCGCTTGTGTGGACGACGGCAACTAAACTACACCAAATCACGGACACTCACGTCTATCAGTATGCCACATAAAAACCAGTGAATGAAAGTGACCGAAAGAAGACAAAACATACCTCGTAGACTATCCAACTGACTGAGCAGGGTATGCGACAAATCGGCGATACGTCGTGCTGCATTGCCTATACGTTCATGATCCGCTGGCTTGCTGTCTGGGGCCAGAGACTGTAACATAAGCAGAAAATAGGAGAATTAAATGCCAGATGGATGAAGTACGTGGAGCTTGAGGAATGCGGAATTTCGCGAGGGACACGCGAGAGAGGCTGAGATTATTGATGGATAGCAGTCCCCGTAACTGTTGAATACACCAAGGACGGAAGAATGGCGCATTGAGCGACACCGGTAGGCGGACGGTCAGTAGTTGAGGGGGATCACGTCCGGCGGCGTCCGCATGGTTCCCAGTCAAGAGGCATCTCAAGCTGGAAGCTATGCAGGTTTCTTTCTTTCCGTACGTACGATCACCCGAGACGCAACAGTCGAGAAAATATACTACATGCAAGTTGCACGACAGTCTCAATACAAGAACACGGCAAAACTGAATACCGAACAAGATTTCAAAAAAGCTATTTTATTAAATTCACGAACCATCATCTTCTAGGTGAATTGTTTGAAAAGAATCCCAAGTTTTGAATGAGAATAGACGGTGAAAAAAAAACCAAACCACGATATGACGGGATTCGCATGCTTGATACCATAATGCGAATGGTATAGATATAGTTTCAGGCTTCAAAGTAAAACAGAACCAGACACTTTGTGACTCGTACAAATATGAAGGCAAGCAGGTGTGCAAAAAAAGAGCAGACATGAGGACAATTGTTCAAACGAGAATCATGTAAGTATGTGCTCTACAAGACCCATAACGCATGAGATAGATGTTTATTCGCAAATGTGTGAAACCAACACAAAACACGACACACAGACACTTGGAACGTGCTCCAGATCGTCTCGAGTGGTAGGAATCGAAGGCCCAACGATGTGACCGCACAGTCCATCAGCTGACGAGCACACTTCAAGAAAACCGGGGCACTCGGAGTCCACGCTTACGTGGTATAGACCAAATCAACTTAGAAGACATTGATGGACTGCTCTCATAACCGACAAAATTGGAATGCTGAAAGGTCCGACGTTATTTAGGCTGTTCGGTTTGCCTTCAGTAAACGCATGAGATTAGTCGAATTTTTGAGTTCCCGAGGCTGCTGTCAGAAAACCACACCGGAAGGTGCTTCGTCGGATAACGTCAACAGCTCAGCTTTGTTGAACTGATCACAGTTCATACTACAAACATCAACCTTGGTCGGAGGTGCACTTTCATTTTTTGCAGTCTGTAGACGACCAGTGAGACGGAACTACAAGGTTGATCATCCGATTTCACCAGACTAGTTGTCCTATCTTAACCTTGTGGTTCTTTAACCAATAGGTATCGTGGAAAGAGGTTATCAGTGTCCACGAGGAATCGGCCACGTATGGGAAACCGTTGCCAGATTACGAGTATTATGAGTCAAGTATAGACAGACCCAAGTTCGAAAGGCTCCGGTACCGTATCCCGAAACCGAGGGATATTGGCAACCAGACGTTGGAATTAGAAAGAACAGAGTGGATCGTAATACTGCAGAGGTAATCGACATCGCTTAATAGGTTTGAAAAGTCCCACTGTATTCGTTTCGGGAAACTAATTTAATAATCTGCAGTTCCGGAAAATACGGAGGTTGAATACTGTTCAAAAGACGTCGCTAAGAGCTGTGGATAAATTTCCGACAAAACATTAGGGTAACTTGTTTCAGGTGTACTTGTGTTCGAACGTGTTTAGAGAGGACCACACAAGATATAGTGCTCTCTTTAAATGAGCAACGTTCCTAGACGTAACACACTACTCATAAGGCTGCTGAAATCTTACGCAGCAAACTGAAGGTTTTATGGACAGATAGTACTCCCTCAATGTTAAGACATGAAAACCCAGATATACACTGATGGAAACCAACGACATATCTTATGTAACCGGATTTGTTTGTTGGTCTTCCAAGTAGTACCAGAATTTTCGTTGTTCTTAGCCAAACAGGTAAATCTGAATCATGCGTGACTTGTCACTGGTCGAACATAGTATGAAAGAAGCGGTGTCTGAAGCAATAAACCACATTCTGACTGAAAATATAAAGCGCGAAAATTTTCAATTTGTACCGCGGAAATTCAAACAGTTGAAACGGAAAACCGAGAATTCCAGCGAGGATAACATGGGTCTCTGGTGGAAGTGGTTAAGCCACGTAGCCCGCAGAGCCCAGCACCAAATCTATAGCCCTCACAACGTGTACGTGTTCTGTTTTCTACTTGATTGAACAGGTATTATTCGACGTCACCAAACTGGATTGCCTACGACGAATGGGTTTCCTGAGCATTTTGTTGTGAACTCAGTGCGTCAGCACGACTGCATCGATCCGTAGCGGAAACTCTGGCGTCAGCTAATGGTTTGGTATAGATCGACGAAGCCCAACAACGGGATGGGTCAGCACAAATTGCCGGCAGTAGAAGAAATGAGAAAAATCATAAAATCTCATGTGGGTGCATGCAGTCTTTTTGGAGATGTTTTCATCTGGCTAACTTCTACACAAACTACGACTTTATTGCTCTCGAGTTAGGGGAATTACCTACCGGAAAGAGCAACCAAATAGTACCGCGTGTGGGATTGCGCGGTTTAGGTCACAATCAAATGAGTGAGTACATACACATATCGAATGTGACCCCTTTCGGATCGTCTCGGTTGCCGGCTTTATTTGTCTTCCATTGACTATGAGACCAAAGAATTTATCCGAGCGTTCATGCACGGCAATCGATTAACAAAACAACTGATCGCCTTTATCTGGCCTCAGAAATTATTATCATACTTTATTAATCTCAGCGCACCTGTTTCGCGCCGTATGACACTCAAAAAAGTGTTTGATACCCTCTGTCAGCCGATAAGCACTCACTATGATTTTCAAGGAAATCCTGGGTCAACGAAGCTTAGTGAGGTTGTGGTTTCACTTGACAATAACCTCCGGAAAAAAATGAAGTTTGATCTAATCGATTGGAAAACGTTTGGAACCGACTGAGAACTCGTTTCGAAAGAGCTTGGTAAACAGTAGGTAGTAAGCTTAAGGCAGAACAAGGGTAAGTTGAGTGACGAACGTTGAGTGGATGTAACAAGGCTGAATGTACGATAAAACTTACATCAAAGAAACTCCTACTTTCAAACATTGCTTCGAAATCCAAAGTACACCAGTCAAACTTACGGCTTTCAGGGCGTCCAGGAGAACGGCAAATTCTTCCGCCAATCCTTTGGTAGTTGCGACACATGCAGTCCGAGTCTCGGTGACAGCTTCCGGACAACGCAGGAGCGCCTAAAGCAACCGGACAAAACGTCCATGAGATAGCGACAAGCATAGCGCCAACACCGAATATACGCCCAAAGGCACCGGGGTAAACCGTCACAATGCGAAAGTCATGCCGTTCGCACGACGCTGCCACGCTACCTAGCTGTAGACTGGCGAATGGAAGCGTGGCTGAATGCTGATTGGTTGCCACAAGAACAAACCAGCCAATCAGAATAGGGCAATCGAACGGTGGATGACAGACAGAAGCTGGAGGTCAAACTGATCGACCGGTTTCGGAATGACAGCGACCGCTGTCCCACACCCTGGTTGGATGGTACAGCGGTTTGAGTCAGTCGCGCAGACTAGCAAACAAAGCCTGGCTAGTGGCGTGTAGGAACACGTGCATGTGCACTAGCGCTAAACTCAGGCGCGGTCGAGCCCTGTGATGTCTTGGCGAATGGAGAACGGCCAGTGGACTCCATGGCTGACAGTAAAATGGTTGGGAATGGCACATTAGGTGCATACCGTACTTCCATTACTCAGCTATTTCCAAACGCTCTTGACAAAAATTGCCTGGACAAAATGTGACATTCAAAATCATTGTTGTGGGAATGCGAAACAAATTATACTTCCCAAACTGGAGGCCCTTTCTGAGTGAGACTGCGCTTATCGTGAAAAGCAGACGATGGGTCATGCAGTTTGTTAAGCCTATTACGTTTAAGTAAGCTGTTGCCGCCCCAATGAGCGCGAGACTTTACAGGTTATTGATTTCGACGACTGATCGCCTAAGGATTTGCGGCTATGGAGGAACGGAAGTAATGGTAAACAACAAGACTAGCATGTAATGGCTAGTGATGGTTGACCAATTATTCTACTGGGATGTTCATTGTCCACAGATGCTTGACGCCGACTGGCTTCTGGGGAGATTAATGTCTCCTGAGGAACGTACGCGTAAAACGCGTTTGCAACTGAGCCTCGGTTATGGACCAATATGGAAGAGAAGTATACATACACGTATACTTTGGTACCCTCTGTAGCTGCTTCAGAATAGAGCATCTTCAGCGTTCTGCTTTTGACCTGGCATAGGGCTACTAAAGAGTATGGCTGCTTCTGGTGCTAGTCGCCGTCCTGGATGGGGACCGCGTGATCCCGATTGCACCTGGTTAGAGACGCCAGAACATATGGCTGCTACTCGCTGTCAATGGTGTTCTTGTTGTCAGTTTCTATCCATATTGCCTGAGTGTTTGGAGGTGTAAGCAGCTCAGTATGATTGTGGTAGGCTAGCACTAAGTCCCTCCCCCGTCCACTTTCTTTTTTTTCACGACAAGGCTTTCTAATAATCATTCCCATATTGCTGAGTGTTTGGAGGTGTAAGCAGCTCAGTATGATTGTGGTAGGCTAGCACTAAGTCCCTCCCCCGTCCACTTTCTTTTTTTTCACGACAAGGCTTTCTAATAATCATGGTTAAGCAGAAAGGATGCATTCGTGTTAAACACTTTTTATGCTGTCGATCGATGGTGAGCTTGTTTGACAAGCAGTAGTAAAACATCAGTGCGTATTGTTTTCTTATAAACTGAATGTTGCTGACGCAATACGGAAACGGGAAACAACCACGGTTGGAACCGTTCAGTTGTTTGGTACTGGAAGAAGCGAAAATTGTGTGTAAACTCCCTTTGTGTGGTTTGGAAATGAACTCGAAATCTGTACAAAACGACAAACAACACATAGAAGAAACCCGTTTTATTTGCACATCAACATTAAAGCTGCGGTCCTGGTGTTATGCGCCGGTGTTTCATCGTCACAAAAGTGGCTGGAAATTAGAGCAGTACCAGGACAGACGTACTGAGATATCTGAGATCTGAACCCCAGAGATTTGGAGACCTTCCGGTATTTGCTTCAACACCTCACCAATGAAGTCAAATATAAGCAGAGAGAGTGGGCACCCTAGTCAGACACCACTGGTTGTGGGAAGGCTTCTGGATAGCGCCAATTATTATGTGAATATAAACAGTGCATGATACTCACGAAATTCTGGGGCATACTCTGCACAAGTGCCAAGATAGTTTAGGGCTTACCTCTCAAACTACTAGACCAACTTTCCACTTGCATTAGCAACATCCCTACTTATCAGGTCGATCCCGATTTCCGCTAGCTCTATCGTGTAGCGCGGATGAAAATCGCCCCTGAAACTGTTACATTTTGTCGACTCGATCGATGCGCGTTGACGACAGAATGACACACAGCTTCGTCAAGCGGAGCGAGCCCAAGAATGTCTTCTGTCACATAAACAGAATAACATGCTAGATTACGAGTTCAGTTTGTCGATAAGTGTAGGTGGAAAGTAACTAGCACCGACTAACAAGCTCCAATCCTATACTAGGATTATTCCATGGTGTAGAATTATGACTGTTTAGGTAGGACGGCCCGGAAAAATCACTGTTCTAACCTCGATTCTTTAGGGATTCTAAGCAAGCGGGAGACCAGCAGACCATCAAATGAGCAAAAGACACGCGTGACTGTTGTCGATTCATTAGGATTGCCGGAATTATTGATCGGCTGGGCATACACAGGCAGTCATGTCCAATCTGGATACAAGAGCTATACACTATATACTGACCAAGAAGTACTGTGGCAAAGCAACGGTTTACCAAGTGACTGAAAAGATCAAGGGATCGTTCGGCTAGCACTGGCGATTCCGAATTACTTTGAGTAGACGTACTTCGAAACCTCTGAACCTTAGTCCAAGTCAGCTTAGTATAAACTTCTGTGCAACGGGGTGGTTTCGTGGCTCTAGCGAAGGTGAGGGAATTTTCCCGACAGGTGGTGTACTATTTGACAATCTCACGTGTTTGAACCCGCGGCCATTAAAGACGAGATGTTATTTTTGTCCAGATGTCACATAATATGCACATGGTTGTGTAAACTTCGTCAAACGTGAGTAACGGACCACCAAATGTTGACCTACCAAGCTTCCAATTAGCTGATGCACTCGGCTAGACAGCCAGTGTCGAGTGAGGTCAACGAGTGGACAACCGCTAAAGATATTAAGCTCGGTTGCTCACAACAAAAAGACAAGCGTGTGGGTTAGTGTAGTCGGTTGGATTATTTTCTCCAGGGTACATAGTTCGATGTCGAAACACGGTAACTCGAGCTGAATACAGGTCAGTGGATTGTCGTCTGGTTGTACAAAACCGATACCGGAAGTTCTCGTCAAAAGTAGCGTGCACACAGGTGCACGAAATCGTATTTGATTTCATGAATTCAACCGTCCGTCCGACAAACTTAGGTGACCACAAAACTTCGATAAACAATCGAAGCGATTTCACGCAGTACGTGCGCATAGCGTGTTAACTGTACTACGGACAGTGTGCTTGCAATAAACTTTGGTGTGCACACACACACACACACCGTGTCAGAGATAACTAACACTGTGCCAAATTGCAAATCAATACGCGCGGGCTCAGATAACCAGGGCCAACACAGGTGTACAGAAAGGTGCATTCAAAAGAGGTGATGTGAGCTGGACAAGCCAAGATGTGGTAGTGCTGTGCCAAATTGCAAATCAATACGCGCGGGCTCAGATAACCAGGGCCAACACAGGTGTACAGAAAGGTGCATTCAAAAGAGGTGATGTGAGCTGGACAAGCCAAGATGTGGTCCTCCATTCACAGGGTATACATTACCTGAACGGAAGGCACGGTTACATAACGAGATGGGTGTGGCGACCGAATTTGGACGAGTGTAAAGTTCGACTATGTGAGATATCACTACAGTATCCACGGTAGCATCCGTGCCTTATTATATGTGGGTAGCACGTTCAATTGATATCTTTCAGATACGTAAACGATGACAAGTTGACATACACACTGGTTATTACTAAAAACCTAATAGTGATATCGGTCAGTGACAATGTTCTAAGTGAGACCAACATCCTAATAAAAACTACATGCAACTCGAGGAAGCCCAAACATGGTATACCATTAAGCATTTTGACTCTGATCACCAGAATCAAAACGTATGGGACTGCTTGGAACAACCGACATCGTGGTAAGTATTTCGCATCTTGATCCCAGTCTGCCTTAAACTAGATCTCGTTTAAGAAAATCGTTCAGCTGTAACCCCCTTTCGGTGCCTAGCTACCGTGCCACACGAGGGCTGGGATACTGCCAGGTCGCCCAAGCCCAGACAGGGGATAGAGAGGCAACGTCGGGTTCGAACCCCGGACCTTCCGGTCAGTGGATTCGCGCTCTAACCACTGGGCCACCTCGCCCTCTGGAACTAATTTGATTTTTTTCAAAAGGTGTGAAAGTTAAACATTAGGTGTCGAAAACTTGTATCTGCATATTAGGTTCTTTAAATTCTGTCTGTTTTATTAGCCAAACACCATAGCGCCCGGTTGATTTCCAACTCATTCTTCCGTTCACTGTGAAAGTAATTTTTTCTGAAGCTTAGATATTCCTCAGGTTATCACTGCACTGAGTGTTTTGGCCGCTTGCGTTAGCAGTTTGTTTCCCCATACCTGATTACATTGGTCAATCATGTTTATCTGGAAGGCGCGTAAAAATGAACAGTATTATTATGGTGGTCGTTGGCTTGTTCGCTGAGCTGGGCAATTTGATTGCAAACGTTTCATCACCAATCGAGGTGACATCATCAGTGCGTTGTTGTGAAGCGTAGTAGTGCGTAGCGGTCGGTTGGTTCTGTTTTGGTTACAAGTAACATAAAGAAGTCAGGTGAAATTCCGTTTTAACGGAAATATTCCGTCACGAAGGTAACTGGTTAGGTTGTAGTTCCCCTGACGCCGAAAGATTGTCATGCCAAAAGTTGTCGGACTTATCAGCGAAAAAGTTCAGATGAATAAGGGAGGCGGAAATAGTGGAAATTGTATTTAGTGCAATAAGTGATGGGTCACATATGGCACACTTGGATCCTGGTGTTTCGATTTAACTCCACAGCTTCTCGCTTCCTCGCGGTTATTTTACTAGTTATGTCCCTCACTTCTTCCGTGTTCATCCAACTTAACGGTAGAATCAGCCGGTGTGCTCACATGTACGGGTGAAAGCGGGAGATAGAGATGATTTCTTATTGGAAGCTATACGACCCAGCTCTCTTGAGAGGGAAACGCAAATTTCCGGGAAAACAGAAGAAAAATCGTTCAGCTGTGGCACCCTTTCGGTGCCTAGTTGCCATGCCACGCGAAGGTTGCATGAGGACTGGGATACTGCCAGATTGCCCAAGCCTGGACAGGGGAAGCGGAGAGGCTGAGGTCGGGTTCGAACCACGGACCTTCCGGTCAGTAAATTCGCGCTCTAACCACTTGAGCCATCTCGCGCCCCAGGAAAACAGAAACTTTGACTGATCTACTACTCGGTCAGTGAAAACCACATATGCAGCAGCAAAGCACCGGTATTCAATGCTGCTACTACTCGTGATAAAGGCGAGAACGATTCGTGCTAGGATCCTTGATACTTGAATTTAGATGGTGTGAAGAGACTAAATTTCTCTGCCCTAGTCTGAAAAAATCCAAGCCTACTTGGCTCAAGCGCATTTGTCCACGTTTACTTTTCCAAAATCTGCAGTCTACCGATATATGGATGACGTGGGTGCTAACGTACGGACACGAGGAGAACTGTGCCAACTAGAGTGATGTGAATTTTACCAAGCCCGCAAAATTTACAACCAATCACAATGAAGCCACATTCGCCTTTTGCGACCTAAGTTACGGTGAATTACACCTTATGGCAGCAATCGATACATAGTAAGGGTGATGACTGGTAGCTCTTACAAAACGTATACGAGAGGTTGGACGCGAAACAGAGGTTACGTGCTCGTGATTAGATACGTCTTTCGTTGCATCCAAATATCATTATTTCCTCAATCCAAATGATAGAGTTGGGCTATAATCGTCCTTCTCGGGCTACATGATAGCTACACAATAGAAGCAGAGCTACTGCTTATCCACTATCAGTAGGGATCAGCTTGTACAACCGCACGTTCTTGATTTTTTTTTAGACAAATACACATGATAACCGTTATAGCACATGAGCACAATAGTATAAAACAAGCCCTATTTTGTTGTTGAGGTTACTTCTCTGACGAGTATCCTCTCAAGGAAAACGATGACACTGTTTTCGGTGAGTGGGTGGTTGAACAATTCAGTAGTAAGTGAATTTCTCCGGGTACCAGCAACAAGCGGACAGAGTCCACGCACTCCTCTGGACAGGCCAGCTGAAAAAGGGAACTAGCTAAATGGTCCAACGTACCGTAGCAGCAGAAACCAGGTCAGTCACCACATCTCTCGTGGTGGCCGCAGTGCCGAGCACGTCTCGTTGCGTTTGGGTATTACCGGCTAGGATAGCTTTGGATACGGCTGTCTGGACGGGACCCGAAGCAGCTCGAGCCAGGTCATCTGGGGCCAAATAGCGAGCAATCAGACTGGACGATCCGCTCACAGCAGACACGTTGGCCACACTCGGAGCGGATTTACGCGAGCTGACAGGTGTCAGTAACGATTCCCGTTCGGGACGTGGGGCGAGTTGGGCAGCCTGATCACGACAGTACTTTGCAGCCGCGACCAATGCCTGGATGCCGCGATTCTCATCATCGGCGATGGTCTTGACTTTTTGAAGAAGAGCACCGATATTGGACAGAGTGAACTACAAGTGAAAGGAACGGATGGACTGTCAGAGACAGGCAGATGAAATCAGGATCTAAATTAGCATTTTTTTCGATTCCACTCAAATATCGACCAATTCGAATAATAGGCGAATCGATTGCGTGGGGATAGAAAAACAACAGCTGGTCGCATAGAACGTGGACGGCGAATTCGGATTGACTGCCTGTCTGTAAGCAGATACGCTCAATCACTGTTAGGAGACCAGTGAACAGAGAAGGAACTAACAATCGTCAACCAATTTCTGAAATAATATCATGGTCCGAATTACTACAAGGTCAAAATAGCGACATAAGAGACCAGATTCATCCACACGTGCTTGGGCCAGGACAAGAAAATAGATCAGTGGCAGTCGTTGGTTCACGTGTGAAAAAAAACCAAAGACTTTCTGGTTTGGCGGTAGGCAAAGCCTTCAACATAAAATTTAGCTAAGGCGGTAGGTATTGCCTACCAGGTCGAGGATCAGACACATCGTTAGTTGAAAGTTAGAAGCACTTCCCGACATCCAAAACGCCGTAGTCAATGCCAACGAGCTAGGCAGTTCAACTGAGGGTGGGAAGGGGGGCGTTTTTCAGTGTCATTTCTTTTGTTCATGGATGCAGTTCAACATTGGAAAAGATTATGTTGTTGCTGCTGCCTCTGCCTCTGCTGGGATGCAAACATTGTTTGGCAGATAATCTTAGTGGCTCAAAGGCTAGAAGTTCAGTCCGACAGGCGTCTAGAACTTTGTACACCATGGTCGTGACGTATCATCCCAACCAAAACGGTAACGCAAAAATAAGTGTTGGTAGAACTCCGACTTGGCCTCGGTCGCTTCCTCCGATGCGTCATCTAGAAGGTGTATTTTTAGATTAGTTGGAAAATGTTCGGAACCGATTGAGAAGTCGTCGTAACACAGAGGTTTGGTAAACATTCCGTGGATTTATTGTTGCCCAGAAATAAATCCAAACCTCTCCGAAAAGGGTGCAAAGTTGGCAACTAGTTTGACGGTATCACTGGGATGGCTGGGCGAAATAGCGGTACACCGTACAACTTCTTTAAGCTGACTTGTTCGCATATGACGGGGACAGAGAGCTTATCCGTACTAAACTTCGGGAGGTTCGCCGAGGAGCGTATTTAGGACCGTACAACTTAAGCTGACTTGTTCGCATATGACGGGGACAGAGAACTTATCCGTACTAAACTTCGGGAGGTTCGCCGAGGAGCGTATTTATTTAG